TCAGAGGCTGGGGGCGCCTCCGCATGTCTGGCACAAGGTCTCCAGGCCCGCCCTCAGCCTAGCCGGTGGCTACACCAGGGGAGACAGTGCTAGGCTACTCCTGAGCCCTGGAGAGAACCAGAGGCCATCCCATAACCCAGGTCAGGGGCAGCCACACTTCCAGTGATCCTGCTTCTGCGGGAAGTGACAGCTGTTCCCAGCTCTTCCTCAGGAAGAGGGGACACACAGGCTGCCTTTCTTCCAGTCACAGGAGGGATGCTGTGACACGCAGGGGTCGCCCTGGGCCAGGGCAGGTTTTTGGAAGCCAGGCCTGGGCACACACCATGCCAGATGCCACTGTGTGGGGAGGAGGTGTGGGCTCCAGGGCCACTGGGAAAGCCGTGAAGAACAGTGCTCCTGCAGACCCGGCCCCTAAGCCTGGGGAAGGCGCTCCCTCAGCGGGGGAAGCAGGAGGGCAGCCGGGGGAGGCCCCGCAAGCGCCCAGCAGAGACGGTCCCTGAGCATTAACACGGGATGGAAAAAGCCAGGCAAGAAGTGCAAGGATGTGGCAAATCTGGGAAGGAATTGCAGGCTTTGTCACCTGGACAGCCTCCTACACCACACACGGTGAGGATGGGCTCAGGACCAGAGAATGCTCTGACGTCCCACTGCCAGCTCCCCCAACACACTGGGGACAATGCCCCACCCCCCTCACTCTAGCGGAACCCCGTGCTTGGCGGCTCACCGGAACCGGCTTGGGATGAAAAAACTTCGACTTTGACTCCTTTGGGCTCTCGGCCAGGTCCGGCTTCTCCTGCAACTCTACAGACTGGACGAGGCCACAGGAGGACAGGAGGCGGGACAGGCTCTCCTGCCGCAGGGAGAGGGAAGTCAAGTGTGAGCATCTGCAGGGGCATCCGAAAGCCTCCCTCCACCATGGGTGGCACTGCCAGGGGTCCAGCGCCCCTGAAGGACTCAGAGCCACAGCCACATCTACCCAAACTGGGAGTCTGTGGGCACCACAGCCTCCGACCTGTTCTGCAGGGATAATATGGAGGTCAATATTCCTGCTCTTTCTCTTTTTTATTTTTTATTTTTTTTGAGTTGGAGCACTGCTCTGTAGCCCAGGCTGGAGTCCTATAGCGTGATCTCGGCTCACGGCAACCTCTACCTCCGGGTTTCAAGTGATTCTCGTGCCTCAGTCCCCCGAGTAGCTGGGATTACAGGCGCCCACCACCACACCCGGCTAATTTTTGTATTTTGAGTAGAGACGGGGTTTTGCCACATTGGCCAGGCTGGTCTTGAACTCCTGACCTCAGCTCTGGTCTTGAACTCCTGACCTCAGATCCGCCCGTTTCGGCCTCCCAAAATGCTGGGATTACAGGCATGAGCCAGCGTGCCCGGCATATTCCCGCTCTCTCTCACTGGAGACAGGTAGGGATATTCTTGCTATTATTCTGATTTTATATATATATGACAAGTTTTACTACCTGAATCAGCAGTGGTGACCCTACGCTGTGACAGTCAGGACGGAGGTTGTCTGTCTGAATCAGCAGTGGTGACCCTATGCTGTGACAGTCAGGACGGAGGTTGTCTGTCTGAATCAGCAGTGGTGACCCTATGCTGTGACAGTCAGGATGGAGGTTATCAGTGGGGGTTCTGGGATGTGCTGCTGTGTCTCCACCTGGGTGCTGACTACACAGGTATGTTCTGTCTCTGGGATGCAACGAGCTGGACACTTGCCACTGGGGCCCTTCCCTGTACACATGCTGCACTTCAAAAAAGGTCAGAACTCACACCCCCTCTTCTACACGCTTCTTTTTTCCCTAAGTTTAGAGGATTCTTTTACAAATTAGAGTTTCTTTTTTGAAAACAAATCCAACAATTCTCTTGACCAGGGGCGGTGGCTCACGCATGTAATTCCAGCACTTTGGGAGGCTGAGGGGGGGCGGATTACTTCAGGTCAGGAGTTCAAGACCAGCCTGGCCAACATGGTGAAACCTTGTCTATACTAAAAATACAAAAATTAGCCGGGCATGGTGGTAGGCGCCTGTAATTCCAGCTGCTTGGGAGGCTATGGCAGGAGAATCTCTTGAACCCAGGAAGCGAGGTCGCAGTGAGCTGAGATCGCAGCGCTCCAGCGTGAGCAACAGAGGGAGCAATTCCCTTAGTTTTTGTAAAAAAAAAATAAAAATTAACAGTTGTGTTTGGATAGAACGAGAGGCACTTTTTATTTCCTTATACTTTCCTACTTTTAAACTATGGACACGTATAATCTCAAAGAAAACACGCAATTCAAACAACTTCGGGTAATACGTAAAAAAGCCTTGGGCTACTTAGGATTATACTTTTTCTTTTTTTTGAGACAGAGTCTCACACTATTGCCAGGCTGGAGTGCAGTGGCGGACCTTGGATCACTGCAACCTCCGCCTCTCAGGTTCAAGCAGTTCTTGTGCCTCAGTCCCCCAAGTAGTTGGGATTATAGGCGTGTGCCACCATATCCAGATAATTTTGGGGGTTTTTTGGGTTCTTTTGAGATGGAGTCTCACTCTGTCACCCAGACTGGAGTGTAGAGGCGCAATCTCGGCTCACTGCAACCTCCGCCTCCCAGATTCAAGGGATTCTCATGCTTCAGCTTCCTGAGTAGTCAGGACTACTGGCGTACGCCATCACGCCTGGCTCATTTTTTGTGTTTTTTAGTAGAGACGGGGTTTCATCATGCTGGCCAGGCTGGTCTTGAACTCCTGACTTCGGGTGATCTGCCCCCTTCAGCCTCCCAAAGTGCTGGGATTACAGGCATGAGCCACCATGCCTGGCAGGATTATACTTTTAAAGACATCTTTGAAAAACCCGTTTCCTGACTGGAGATCAAGGTAGCCCTCTGGACACTCTCCTCTGGGGCTCCCATTAGCTGTGTCCGTCTCACCACCAAGGACTTGGTGGAGGCCAAGGGAGCCCCCACCTAGAGCCCACAGGTCCCCTCCCAGACACTAGCTCACCTCTGTGCAGTATGGGGGCACATTGAGGACAAAAAGAGTCCTCTTCTGAGGCCAGGTGGACTTGGTGCCTTGTCGAACGCCGTGTGCTCTCACATAGAGGTAGTGAGAAGCCTGCTGCTTTTCGGAGAACTTGATTGGAATAGCTGGAAAGGAAATGGGAGGGGAGGGATGGCCAGGCTACCCTGAGCTGAGGTCAGCAAGACATTCACACAACTTCCTTTCTCCACATCCCTGTCTAGTCCTATCTGCTCATCAATCCATCCATCCCTTCACCAACCCCCCGACCCTACCCTTTGGCAAAGCCTGTGCGGGCTCTAAGAGTCTGCCCAGGAGGGCCTCCCAAGGTGGTGCAGGGAAAGAGAAGATAAATGGGCAATGATTACAGATGGGGGTGCAATGAAAGGGAAGCTCGAACCCTGCGGCTCTTGGAGTGAACACCAAAATCTTAACCGTGGCTGGAAGCTCCGAGAGACCCTGCCTGCCACTGTGGCCTCTTCTCATACCATCTTCCCCCACCACCTTGGATTCTCCCTGTTCCCCTGGGTACACCAGGGCCTCACACACACTGGCCTCTCTTACCTGGCGCGTCACCCTCTTCCTTCCCGCTAACCTTCAGGTTTAGCTCAAACCTCGCTTCCTCAGGAGAGCCTCAGCGTCACCCCCAGCCCCTCCTGCCAGGTCAGATCCCACTGCCTATGCCTTCACAGCTTCTCTTAACAGTCTGTAGGCTATACTGATGAGATTCTTTGGTTAATCGCTGGCACACCCATGACTGTAATCTCATAAAGCTAGGAACTGCTTCTATTTTTCTCACACCTCCGTCAGACTACCGGTTGGCATAGAGCTGCGGTCCCTGAACTCAGGAAGCTCAGTTGCAATAACGGAGAAGACAATTACCAAGTAAGCACACAGCAAGCTTGTATCAATTATGAAAGAAACATTACAGGGTCATGGGGTGGCAGAGGTCTTCTTTCCATAGGCTCTCAGGGATGGCCTCTTTGAGGAAGCAACATTAAAGCTCAGACCAGAAACGCCAATAAGCAACAAATTGGCACAGCACGTGCAAAAACCCAGGGGGGAAAAAGCACCTTGCCTCAGAGAAACAGAAAGAGCTTTAGGTCAGCACCAGCCAGACCACGTGGCCCACACAGGTTAAGAAGTCTGCTTTTTGTTTTAGAAGCTACCTGATAAAGCCACTGGAGGGAATGCAGTGGATGTGGGAGCTATCGTGGGCGTGTGAGACATGATCTAAATTTTAAATGGACTTAAAAAGAACATTCTACCACATGGGTGGAGAACAGAAGCAGCGGCAAGATGAGAAGGAGGGCAACCAAATAGGAGAGCCCATAACAGCCCAGGTAAGAGCTGCTGGGGGCTGGACTAGGAGCAGAGACGATGAGAAGGGGATGGGCTCACCTGGATGAGCGAGTGTGGACGGAAATGGGTTTGCCCTGGGTGAGGGGTGGACAGAGGTGGGCTCACCCACGGGAAGCGTGGACGAAGACAGGCTCGCCCCGGTAGAGTGGGAAGACAGAAGAGCGCCTCCTGCGTCCTCCGAGCCTCACGACCTCCCGAGCCTGGGGCCAGGAGCCACCCGGGCTCACACCTAACCGTGCGGCCGCTCCTGGGGACCCTCGGCCGCCGCCAACCCCCAAACACCTCCTGGCGATGCCTGACCGCCCCCGGTCTCGCCTCCCGGAGCCCCTCACCTGCGTAACCCGGTGGGCTCGGGATACGGTCGTCCCGTTCCCGCGCCGGCCGCTTCTTCCTGCGCGCCACCATCTTGCCGCCCGGGAGCGCGGGGGTCGCCGGGAGTTGTGGTTCGGCGCCGGCGCGATCGCGTTTCCGTGGCGTCTGTCCCGCCCCCTGGCTCCAGGCCCGCCTCTCCGGCCCCGCCCGCCAGGGCCCAACCTTCATCAGCTCAGAGTCAAATCAGCGCGCCAAGTGGGAGGGAACGTCAGCGTTGACCCCGGCCAGTCACGAGTGCGAACTCAGCTTTCCACGCATGCATTCACACATTGAATAGGCACTGTGAGAGAAATCCAGGATGGCTGCTAGGTTTTCAGTCGGGGCAGCTAAGAGGATGGTGTTGCCATTGACTGAGATGGGGAGACTGCAGGAGAGGGGCCAGCTTGGGGAAAATCAAGTGGATCAGTTCTCTGTGGGCCATGGTGAGACGCCCATTAGGCCTCTCAGGGAAGATGTCAGGTGGGCAGTTCCACATGAGACTCAGTAGTCAACTTTTGTTTTCCTGCAGTCTCACTCTGTTGCCCAGGCTGGAGTACAGTGGCATGATCACAGCTCACTGCTACCTCTGTCTCCTGGGTGCAAATGATCCTCCACTTTAGCCTCCTGAGTAGCTGAGGTCATTTTTCGTTTTTGTTTTTGTAGAGATAGGGCCTCACCCTATTGCCCAAGCTGGTCTCAAACTCCTTACGCTCAAGTAATCTTCCTGCCCCAGCATCCCAAACTGCTGGGACTACAGGCATAAGCCACCATGCCCAGCAGATAGTCAACTTTTTTTCTTTTGAGAGTCTCGCTCTGTTGCCCAGGCTGGAGTGCAGTGGCGTGATTTCACCTCACTGCAACCTCCACCTCCCGGATTCAAGTGATTCTCCTGCCTCAGCCCCCCAGTAGCTGGGATTACAGGTGCCCACCACCACGCCCCTCTAATTTTTGTAATTTTTGGTAGAGACGGGGTTTTACCATGTTCGTCAGGCTGGTCTCAAACTCCTGACCTCATGTGATCTGCCTGCCTCGGCCTTGCAAACTGCTGGGATTACAGAAGTGAGTGAACGTGCTGGCCCCAACAGGCAACTTCTAATGTGGTGTGTCAAGGCTCCCAGAGAATGTTCCACACACAGAAAATGGGGAAGTGACAGTCTTTGAAAGCGTAGGCCCAGAAATGGCAAAGTCACATCTGGTCAAAGTAGTAACAGAGCACACTTGGGTTCAGGATGGGCATGGGACCCCATCTTCTGAAGAAAGGAGTATCAAATAATTTGCATCCCTGGAGGGGAGCAGTGGCTCATGCCTGTAACCCCAACACTTTGAGAGGCCGAAGCAGGAGGATCACTTGGGCCCAGGAGTTAAAGACCATCCTGGGTATCATATCAAGAACCTATTTTTTAAATAATTAAGTTGCACTCCAAATGTTGAAATCCCTGAAGATCAAAACCCTTGGCTGGGTGTGGTGGCTCATGCCTGTAATTCCAACTTTGGGAGGCTGAGGAAGGCAGACCACCTGAGGTCAGGAGTTCAAGACCAGCCTGTGCAACATGGTGAAACCCCATCTCTACAAAAATTAGCCAGGCATGGTGATGCACGCCTGTAGTCCCAGCTAATTGGGAGGCTGAGGTAGGAGGATTATTTGAGTCTGGCTGCGGAGGTTGCAGTGAGCCAAGATAGTGCCCCTGCACTTCAATCTGGGCAATAAAGTGAGACTTTGTCTCAAAATAAAAAGATAACTCAAAGGTAGGAATACCAAATGTTTATTCAGAAATGGATAATACATAATCACCCTTCGTCCCTTAATGCCTCTTCCTCTCCTTCTGCACGGGAGACACAGACGGGTAACACAGGGGCATGGGAAGTGAAGGAGGACACAGGACTAGCCCACCACCTTCTCTTCCCGGTCTCCCAAGATTACTGCTTATAGAGTGGAGGCGGCAAACAGGTCCCCTCAATGTACCAGATGGTCACCTACAGCACCAGCTCCAGATGGCCACATGGCTGCAGCTGGACTCAATCAAACTCTGTGACAACCAGAAGATCCCTGCTTTGGGATCAGAGGGAGGGTAAAGCCATGCAGGCAGGATATTTACCGTCCCCACCCTAAGCAGAGTCCAAGCACTGAGTCCCCTGTTCCCAGTACCTGAAAAGCCAGGTCCTACTGCCTTCTGGATGCTCTCTTGGGCCAGGAAGGGTAAAGTGTGGGAGGAATGTCTTCCAGCTGCTAACGAGAAGTCTGCACCCACTTGAAGGGGTTAAGAGAATAAAAAGCAGCATTCTTTAAAGAACTGGAAGTGGAGCACCACCAGGCCCCTTCCTTGGACTTTCCCGGCCTGGACAGCCTCAGAGTCTGCAGACTGAAGCTGAGTTCAAACCCTGGGTCCTTCCTGCCTGACTGACTGACCTCTGGAAACATGAGTCTCTGAGTTTTTCTTCACTGGGTCAGCCTCAAGCAAGTCTCGGGAACTCTTGAGTATCTCTGGCATGCGCCTTTCCCAGCACTTGCTACTGATTTTGCAGAGCTCCCAGAACTGTGCTCCCCAACTGGTTCCAGCTCTACCAGCCTGGATTCCCTTCATTCCCAGCAAACCAGCAGGGGACCACTCAGTGACACCAGGGACAACACTGGCCTGGTCATTCAGGGACTGCCCCTGGGCTCTATAGTTTTGTCCCAACTGCCTGTGCCTATACTGGGGAAACAGCTTGCCTGGTAGAGCTGCCCTGCTCCCTTGACTCCTCCTCTGCCAAGGCAGGAAAATAACCCTCTGGTCATGGATGGATGGGTCACTCACGTAAGTGGGAACAAACAGTGCCCCTTGGTGGCAGCTGGATATATGCCTCCAGGCACTCCTGACCACTGTCCTGTAGACAACTTAGGCCAGAAATGGAGAGCCAGGAGCAAACCGACCTCTTCCATTCAAATAAGCTCCAAACCCACAGCATTGCAGAATGGGAGGTTGAACCTTTGAAAGGCCCAACCAGAGGAGAGCTGGCAGCTGCACAAAACCAGGGTGTGATGAGTGCCAGGCGAGGTGAGAACCAGGAGGGCTCACAACACAACCCCCTCCTAGCAGAGACACCCAGAAGGGAAAGAGAGCTGGGGCAGGGCATTCAGCACAACTCAAGGAAAAGGGAAAGGTGAACTCTGGAGAACTTCCTCTGGGCGGAGACAGCACGGGCCTCCAAGCCAAGAGCTTGGACACTCTTCCCAGCGGTGAGCCTCATCCTGCCCTTGCCATTAGTGAGGCCTGGAGCCACTGGGGAGAGGACAAGAGGCCTGAGACCTGCTCCCCACCCAGGCACCTCCAATGACCAGGCAGAGGAGCGGCACAGCTCTCAGGCCGACCTGGCTCCCATGAGGATACCAGGGTTTTCCATCCCCTCCGTTGTCTGAAAAGCTTAATACACACAAAGGACAGGCAGCCCGTCGGCCCCTGGAAAAAGCAGGGTCCTTCAGACAGCCCCCGCCCTGCATCCCATGGGGCCACAAGAAAGCCACCCAGAGAATTCAGTGTACCATTTCCAGATAAGAAATCAGCTTGGGGCTGAGGCTGGCGGAGGCACACTGAAAAACACACGCCTAACTTGGTGATGAGATGGAGAAGAAACATACTACAGGAAACGTTAACGTACAGAGAAAGCACATGGCAGAACACAACACAGAAATGCGGGTCCCATCCAGTGAGGAAGCTCTTTACCCCTGGTGACCCTTCCCACAATCAGGGGTCTCCAGTCCGATGGCCCATTGGTCATAAGCTTTGCCTTGGGGAAACAGAGCCACCCTCCTCTGCCCCCACTTCCAGCTGCCTCACTCCCCTGCTCAAAGCTTGATTTTGAATTCTGTGGGCTGCGTGGTCACAGAGGCCCCTGAGGACTTGAAGAGTGCCTTCAGGATGGTGTCAGGGTCCACTTCGGCAGGGGGGTTGGAGGAGGAGGCAGAGTTCACCCTGCGAGGCAGCTCACTCTCCTTTTTCACCGATGGGCTGTCACTCAGCCGCCTGTGGAGAGCAGAGAAGGATAAAAAAAAAAAAAAACCTAATTGGGGAACAAAAAGAGGGGTAGCATCTGGCTCTGTCTCCATCAGAGCCAATCATGAGGTGGAGTTCTGTGTTCCTAGGATGATGATGATGCACACAGCTGGGAGACCCAAGCAGCCTCCCCTCCACCTTCCACTCAGATATTTCTAAATCAGAAGGCTGAGAACGAGATCATAATGCTAGCCCCTGTAGGGTCAATCCCTGGGGAAATGACAAAGCAAACCATTTTGGTTGAGTTAAGCATTTGAAACAACCAGCTGCCATTAGAACAAAGGAAACGGGATGGGGGGATGAAGGGGAGCTGTGATGCAGGCAGTTTACCCATTAGAATAAAGAGAGATGGACGGAGTTCCCTCTCCCCAGCACCCCGCCTTTGGAACTCACAGCAGGATGGGCTGGTCTGAGGTGATAACGTTCCCATTCATGTGAAGGTTGCACTTCATCGGCTGCCCTGAAAAACCAGAGAAAGAAAAAGGCTCTGCTATGAGACCTCAGCTCCTCACACAAGAGGACAAGGGCTGTACCTCCATTATCAACGGTCAAAACACCCACCACGGCGGTTCTGGCTCCGCAGATGGAGACCTGGCTGCTAGGTTCCAATCAAGCCAGACACTAAGAAAATCCAAAGCGTGAGGAAACCTCAGCAATGGCGCACCAAGAGGCAAAGTGGCCACAAACCTTGCTTCATACAGGAGGAGATGAGTGAAAGTGAAGGAGAAATGAGACTCAATGTGAAGCCATCCAAGTAGTAAGGGAAAAGGTTTATGCTATCAAATTCAGTGAAAAGATGATCAAAAGCATTCGTACAGGCTTCTACTCTATCTACAAAGGATGAAGCACTAGGAAGACCACACTCCCACTGTATACAAAGCACAACGTGTGTAATGGTAATAGCACAAAAAAGAGGAAGAAGAAACAAGGCCATTTGGGAGTAACATTTCCATATCTTACTCGAGTTAAGTTAGTGAATACATCATGAAAGGAATTAAAATATTAGGAAAAAAATGTGAAAGAAAAGCCACTGAAGAGGAACAAAAAGGTAAAATGCGGTCAGTCGCGGTGGCTCACGACTGTAATCCCAGCACTTTGGGAGGCCAAGGCGGGCGGATCACGAGATCAGGAGATTGAGACCATCCTGGCTAACACGGTGAAACCCCGTCTCTACTAAAAATACAAAAAATTTGCCAAGCATGGTGGTGGGCACCTGTAGTCCCGGCTACTCGGGAGGCTGAGGCAGGAGAATGGCGTGAACCTCGGAGGCGGAGCTGCAGTGAGCAGAGACCGCGCGCCACTGCACTCCAGCCTGGGCAACAGGGCGAGACTCCGTCTCAAACAAACAAACAAACAGAAAAGTAAAATGGAAGAAACAAACCTAATTATCAATATTAAATATGAATGGCTTAAATAATCCAATCCAAAGACAGATTGTCAGATTGAATTAAAATAAAAAAAAGACACATTTTTCTTTCTTTTTTTTTGAGATGGAGTTTCACTCTTATTGCCCAGGCTGGAGAGCAGTGGCACGATCTCAGCTCACGGCAACCTCTGCCTCCCAGGTTCAAGTGATTCTCCTGCCTCAGCCTCCCGTTTAGCTGGGATTACAGGCATGTACCACCATGCCTGGCTAATTCTGTAAAGTAGAGATGGAGTTTCCTCATATTGGTCAAGCTAGTCTTGAACTCCCAATCAGGTGATTCTCCTGGCTCAGCCTCCCAAAGTGCTGGGATTACAGGCGTGAGACACTACGCCCAGCCTAGGAAACACATTTTTACAGTCGATGAGAGAAAAAGATTGAAAGTAAGAGTGGGCCAGGCATGGTGGCTCATGCCTGTAATCCCAGCACTTGGCAAGGCTGAGATGGGCAGATCACTTGAAGCCAGCTGATTGAGAGCAGCCTGGCCCGCATGGCAGAAACCCCATTTCTGCTAAAAATACTAAAAATTAGCCAGGTGTGGTGGTGCGCGCCTGTAGTCTCAGCCACTCAGGAGGCTAAGGCACGAGAATCGCTTGAACCCGGGAGGCAGACGTTGCAGTGAGCCAAGATCATGCCCCTGCATTCCAGCTTGGGTGACAGAGTGAGACTCCATCCCAAAAAAAAAAAAAAAAAAAAAGCGTGAACAAAGATATATTACCCAAACAGCAACCCTAGGAAAGCTGGTCTTTTACTTATTAGCTATTAGTAATATAAAATGAAATAGACTTTAAAACAACAACAAAAAAGTTACTAGAGGTAAAGAGGGATTTAAATTTAATTAAAGGGTCAATTCATCAGGAAGAATATAATCAAACATATATGCAAGTAACAACAGAGCCTCAAATATATGAAATAAAAATACACAGAAGTGAAAAGAACAGACAAACAGTAATAAAGATCTTACCGAGCGCAGTGGCTCATGCCTCTAATCCCAGCACTTTGGAAGGCCTAGGCAGACGGATCACTTGAGGTCAGGACTTTGAAACTAGCCTGGCCAACATGGTAAAAACCCCATCTCTACTAAAAATACAAAAATTAGCTGGGCGTGACAGCGGGCACCTGTAATCCCAGCTACTTGGGAGGCTGAGACAGGAGAACTGCTTGAACCCAGAAGGGAGAGGTTGCTGTGAGTCAAGATCATGCCACTGCACTCCAGCCTGGGCGACAGAGGGAGACTCAGTCTCAAAAAAACAAAACAAAACACTCCATATTTCACTTTCAATACTAGATAGAACCAGGCAGATCAACAATGAAACAACACTTGAACAACATGACAAAGCAACTAGACATAATAGACATGTACAGAACACTCCACCCACAACAAGAAAATCCATATTCTCCTTAAACACTCAAAGAAGAAAAGAAAATCTGGAAAATTCATGAATATATGGAAATTGAAACAATCCTAAATAACCAGTGGGTCACAGGAGAAATCACAAGGGAAATTAGAAAATAATTCAAGATGAATGAAAATGAAGGCATGATATGGAATGCAGTTAAAGCAATGCTTAGAATATATAGCTGTAAATGCACATATAGTCATGTACCATTTAACCATGGGAATACATTCCAGAGTGCAGTGGCATGATCATAGCTCACTATAGCCTCAACTTTTCAGGCTCAGGTGACCCTCCCACCTCAGCCTCCCCAGCATCTGGGACTACAGGCACACGCCACCATGCCCAGCTAATTTATTTTTTGAGACAGGGTCTTGCCACATTGCACAGGTTGGTCTCAAGTTTCTAGGCTCAAGTGATCCTCCTGCCTCAGTCTCCCAAAGTGCTGGAATTACAGGCTTGAGCCACCACACCTGGCTGTACAGCATGTTACTCTACTGAGTAGGCAACTGTATTTGTACATCTAAACATAGAGAAAATACAGTAAAAATATGGTATTATAATGTTATGGGCCCACTGTCATATATGTGGTCTGTTGTTAACCAAAAAGTCCTTATACAGCGTATGAATACATTAACAAGCAGAAGTAAAAAAACCGACAGAATGGGAGAAAATATTAGTAAATCACTTATCTGATAAAGGACTTAAGAATATATAAAGTACTTTTACAACTCAATAATAAAAAAGAACCTAAAAGGCAGACAAAGATTCTGTACTGGCATTTCTCCAAAGAAGACAGCCGGGCACGGTGGCTCACGCCTGTAATCCTAGCACTTTGGGAGGCCGAGGTGGGCGGATCACCTGAGGTCAGGAGTTTGAGACCAGCCTGGCCAACATGGTGAAACCCCATCTCTACTAAAAATACAAAA